CATCTTTATGAGTTGTATCTTCTTTATGAGCAATATCTTTAAGAGCTGCATCTTTATGAGTTGTATCTTCTTTATGATCATTCTAAAATAATTGAAATTGATGGTAATAATAATAAGTTAATTAAAATAATATTATTATTCATCAGAATTAATACAATTAAATACACAAACCAAGAAATCCCTTTTTATTCCTTCTGGCGTGTTTACTGGAACAGACATTGGATTTCCGGCTGGTTTCCTCACATTACAATGTTTATTTCTTACAAGATTAAATTTAAATGCATTTATATTATTTTTTTCAAGAGAACCTTTATTATGATTATAATTATTAAGTGCTACTGAATTTCTGGTGCAGATCCTGTTGATCTTGTTGACTTTGAAATTGGCATTGACTCTGACATTGTTGTTATTTGGGATTGAAATTGAAGATGATGATGTTGATGCTGAACTTGCTACCGTTGGAGATGATGATGCAGGGATTAGTTTTGGCAGAATTGGTCTTATAATTGGTGTCTGAGTTGGAACAGTTGGTGGAGTTTGAGATGGCAATTGGCATGTTGTTGAATCTTTATGAGTTGCATCTTTATAAGTTGTATCTTCTTTATTATTATTCTAAAATAATTGAAGTTGATGATAATAATGATAATAATAATAATAATTCATCAGGATCAATACAATTTAAATACACAAACCAGGAAAACCCTCTTTATTCCTTCTGGTGTGTTTACTGGAACAGATATTGGATTTCCAGCCGGTTTCCTCACATTACGACGTTTATCTCTTACAAGATTAAATTTAAATGCATTTATATTATTTTTTGCAAGAGAACCTTTATTTTTATAATTATAATTATTAAATGCTACTGATATTGGAATTTCCGGTGCAGATCCTGTTGATTTTGTTGATTTTGAAATTGGCATTGATTCTGGCGTCGTTGTTATTTGCACATTTGGGATTGGGATTGTTTGATTTGTTATTGAAAGTGATGACGTTGATGTTGAACTTGCTACCATTAGAAGTGATGATGCAGGGATTGGTTTTGGCAGAATTGGTCTTATAATTGGTGTCTGGGTTGGAACAGTTGGTGGAGTTTGAGATGGCAATTGGCATGTTGTTGAATCTTTATGAGTTATATCTTTATAAGTTGTATCTTCTTTATTATTATTCTAAAATAATTGAAGTTGATGATAATAATGATAATGATAATAATAATTCATCAGGATCAATACAATTAAATACACAAACCAAGAAAACCCTCTTTATTCCTTCTGGTGTGTTTACTGGAACAGATATTGGATTTCCAACCGGTTTCCTCACATTACGACGTTTATCTCTCAGAAGATTAAATTTAAATGCATTTATATTATTTTTTGTAAGAGAACCTTTATTTTTATAATTATGTGCTACTGATATTGGAATTTCTGATGCAGATCCTGTTGATCTTGTTGATCCTGACATTGGCATTGGTTCTGGCGTTGTTGTTGTTTGCACATTTGGGGTTGAGATTGTTTGATTTGTTGCTGAAGGTGATGATGTTGATGTTGAACTTGTTACCATTGAAAATGATGATACAGGAATTGGTTTTGGCAAAATTGGTCTCATAATTGTTGTTTGGGTTGGAACGGTTGGTAGAGTTTGAGATGGCAATTGACGCATTGTTGAATTATCAACATCATCGTAATTTGCTGTTTTTTTTAAAGTCGCATTTCTATGGAATAATATATGCCTTTTATTTATATGCTCTTGAAAATCAACCGATGATTGAGCAACAAAACTTTCTGATGGCGAAGAAGATTCATCTAATTGTAAAGGTCTTTTATTGGTTGGATTATCATTACTATTATTTATTGTCAATGGTTGAGTTTTTTGGTTTAAATTTGATAAATTATTATTTTCTTGATTTTTATTTTTCTGAAGGAAGTTTGGCAAGCTATTGTTTGTTTCTAAATTTTGTATTAAAAAAAATCGAGTTTAATAAATTTAATTAATTAACAAGTATTAATTAAATTTTTTCATATAAAAGTATATTTATTTAACTTAAAACGCTCCCAGAAAATTCTTCATAGTCTATAATCATGATATCATTATTCTATAATTGATAATATGATAAAGTTAATATTATTTTCGTGAATTCGCGAATTATTAAAAATAAAAAATTTTCGTATATCTACTTCTATATCATCATTACTGTCACATTTTCCAAAGTTTGAAAAATTACTCGACATTTTGAACATTTTGAGCTAAGAAGTCTATTTTGAGAAGTGTAAAAATTTTTTTTGTGATCTGAACATCCACCTGAAGGTAAGAAGGTAAGTAAACCAATCAAAATTTTATTTTGTTGTGTAATGTATAACTAATCACGTGTAGTAATTAGTAAATGGAACAAAAATCGATTGGATGATTTTGAAAACCAACAAGTAAATATTTAACAAAGAATAAAACAATAGGTCCAACGATCAACAATATTTTGCTGCTGCTGTTTTACATGCAGAAGTATGGGCTTTCATTAAAACAGATTCTGAACATTCTATACAAGAAATTATACAAGAAATTACGTATCCTTGGAATGGGATCAAGTTTGTTCGATTGGTCTAATATGCTCAGAAATAGGTGATCAAGAATTGAATGACTTAATTAACAATCCAATTTAGATAGCTTTTTAGGACACTCTACTTCTGAATGGCTTGCTAAATAAAACCTTTTAAATGTACAATGGCAGTCGACTGTTATGGATCTTGATAATAAAGATGTTAATAATAGTAGTAATAAAGTAGGAGAAAAAACAAAAGTAGCTAAAAAGTCAATATCGTAAGTGCTTCTTAAGTTCTGGCAGCTTTACCAAATTCACGAAATGTTAAGAAAATTTGGCTGGAAAAGCCGAAACACTTATTTCCAAAAGGATTATTATGGACAAAAAGGGCAAAAAATTTATTTAGGTCATGCTATAATAAAGTTAAAACAATTATTTTAAAGAACATTTCTCCTTCTCCTTCTCTTTCTCCATTATTTATCCTCCACCCCCAAAAGAATAATAACATCATATTTATTTATAGTATTGTTTTTATCTATTCAACTCCAACCACCACTACAATTACACTTTGGTGGTTGATAAGCCGAAAGTATTGTGTATTTTTTCTCCTTGTATTTTTGCCTTAACTACCTGCCTACTTATAAAAGATTAGTAGCGTGAGTTATACACGTTATCAAAATTAATTTGTGTCAGAAAGTCATCTGATTGAGTCAATGATCAACCTATGTTTCATGCATAATATCTTATTTCTCATTTGCATTGTATATATATATATATATGAAAATTTCCTTGCAATGAAAATTTACATTATAATTTACCAAATTAAGAAAAATTAATCGAGACGATTCCTTTTTTAATACTGTCAATAGACGATCCTGCGCCGTAATAATAAATAAAACCATTATTCAAACATTTCTTCCTTTTAAAAATAATGAGCCTATGAGTTCATTAAGATCAAGTTTAAGAAATAATAATCATAGTCAAGACAGTCAAAGTATCACAAGTTTGAGATAACACTATTAAAGAATCAGACATTTTTCTGTTAAGGGTAGGGTCTACGTAACACGAATTTTATTATGATACAGTGAATGATTTTTTGGCCGCCAATCATTAAAGTATTATAGTAAATAGTGTAGTTGCATATTAATATAATAATAATATCGGAATTAAAGATGTTAGCCGAAATTACTTCACTTAGTAAATGATCGTCACCGAATCCGAAACGTTTCATAGTTGCCGAAATTAACTTTATTAAATGCCGAAATTAACTATTAAATGCCGAAATTATACTCGAAATTATTTGAACACTTTAACTCAATAGCCAAAATTCTGGGTAATTTTTTTATGTCTATCATTATGAAAATATTGTAAATCCGAAATTGCCTGCCAAAATTGATTTTTCAAAAACCATTTTGGCTAACATCTTTAATCGGGGTAAATTATTTTATTGAAGGTGGATGAAGTGGATAACAAGAAGGTAAAATAAGTTCAACAACTAACTGTTATTCGGCCACTAGAAAATATTTAATATAACATTCTCCTTCTTTAACATTAACAAAAATTGACAATGTCACCCCAAGAATAAAATAAATGGGTTATTATTATCGTAACAAATATTTTTCCTGCTCCTTCTCATGTTTTCCTATTTAAAAATAAATTGTGCTGTTAATACATATAACTTTCAATAATGAATTGATTATTTGTAAAAATACCAAGTAAAAAAACAGGGAATTCTAATTTTTGTTCCTAAAGCAAAAAGAAAGTTTGATATAATTTCCAAAATATTAATATGTAAAATAGAAAGATATATTATCTTGTTATTATTTTCTACTACCATCATCATCCTTCAACCTTCCTATATTAGTTGATAGTCAATACTAATGCACTGGAAATGGTATTTTTAAAATAGAATGTTTTTTAATGAATGTTTCTAAATTTACATACAAACAAGGTTATTTTACAGAATTTAATCTAATACAATATTATTACCTTGTGAATGAACTTCTTGTTGGAAAAGACGGCAAAACAAAAGTATTTCAAGGTTTAATAATATTTAATTGGTGATCCGTCTATGAATCAGTGAATTTTTAATTAGTGATCGGCGGGGGAAAAATGTCACGAAAATGACTAATCGAGTACCTTTGCATAAAAAGTTGTACTATACTTTTGTTCCACTACATAAATTTTTTTGTTATGTGCACATGGGAAAAATCTCAAAGATTACAGAAATATAATTTTTTTTCTCATTTGCATAGACAAAAAGAAGAGTTTACTATTTGGCCGCCATGGATTAAAGAAATGTCGATCCTTTCACTGTTTCATAGGCGGATCACCAATTAATATTTATTTAAAAATTTGTTATAAATTTAATAGTGATTTGAGAATTTTTATATGTGATTTGAAAACTACTTTTGACTTTACAAGTTTTTTTCTAAAAGAACGATATTAATTTTTTTATGACTATATGATTGGATACGTATTGAAAAAATATTTGGAATAGTAAACATCTTACTGAAACGAGTTTTGGGTTATAGCCTTGTTATGAGATTAATTAATGATTTAATATTAAATTTGTTACGAAAATTATTAGCCAGTCGATCACTATTTAAAATCACATGATTTTCTTCTACCCTTAAATGTTCATTGTTGTGTACAAGCGTGCTCTAATTTCTCTGTGTAAAATAAATCTACCTTTATTAGTTGGGTACCGTACTACTATCTCCGGCCGCTAACAAAAATACGAAAACGATTGTTTTTAATTTGAAAACTATAATTGGGTTTTAAACTCTTTTTGATAATATGCTATTTTATATCATTCATTATCTATTATTAATATTACTATATATATATTACGACTGCAATACGGCACGTGACATAACCGTATTAGGAATTCTGATTAATTCAAAAATTGTATTTCTAGAAGTTTGAATTTCATCCAAATGTGGTTGTAGATTAGTTATTTGAATAAATTGTTTACCATATACAGCCCAATATAGTCATAATTTCCATATAAGAATCCTGTTGGGAACATTGTGACTTTTTCTAGATAATTTGTTATATAATAATAGACTTGATAGTAATTGGTTCCAACATATTAATGTACGCTTTTATAAAAAGAAGTTTCTTATATAGAAGTAACACTAACACAACCAAATATAAATAAATATAAATAAATACCATAAATACTACTAATCCATAAATTAATAAATATAATCCTTGGTAATTAAATTAATAATTTTTTTAAAATTTACTTTCCTTTTTCATTTTTTTTTTCTTCTCTCCCCCCACTCCTACCCTATATCGCACACATTACTTTTCATTTATAGATAAAGAAGCAGACTAAAGCGAGCCTCTTTCTACTTCTGTCCTTCTTCCATACTTTCTCTTATTACCATCAACGACTTCCTTTTTAAAAATTATCGTTTATTTTTCATATAACACTTACTATTTCATTTCTTCCTAAAAGGTAATTCACATTTTCATTTAGGCAACACTTTTTTTAAAATATTCGAGTGAATTTAATTAACAATAAACAATTCATATCAATAGATTCAACAATTATTATCTATATAATTTCTCCTTTTTAATAATTTAATTAATAATAACTTAATAATTAATAATTAGCATAATTAGTTCAGTGGCATATATATACACACATATATCAACATGCGCCTTATATCTCTCCTTGGATTTTTTTTAATAGCTTTGCTTTCAAAATCATTACATCATGTTAACGCCTATTCACTTGGAGTTAGAAATTCACCACTTGGCATGACTACCAATGGTATTTTAAGAAGAGATACCGGATTTATATATTCCTCCTTAAAAGAAAGAGCTGACTCTCTAGAACCAAGGCAAGACGATCAAAAGCAACCAAAGAAGGAACCAACAAAGCAGGACCCACCAAAGAAGGACCCACCAAAGCAGGACCCACCACCAAAGCAGGACCCACCACCAAAACAGGACCCACCAAAGAAGGAAGCACCAAAGGATGACCCCCCACCAAAGCAGGACCCACCACCAAAGCAGGATACACCAAAGCAGGACCCACCAAAGCAAGACACACCAAAGCAAGACACACCAAAGCAGGACACACCAAAGCAGGACACACCAAAGCAGGATGCACCAAAAGTCACACCGGCTGATGATTCTAAAACACCAACTGATCCTAAAACATCATCAGTTACCAGCGCCAGTTCAAAATCAAGTAAGTATTCATCATGCACACATATATTTATTTAACAATTTATATACAATAAAATATATAATTGATGTTAATTTTTTCTCAAACAATAAAAAATAGATCCACCAGCATCTACTGAATCAACTAAAAGTGTAAACGATCAATCACAATACAAAAATTCTGATTCTGGAGCATCTGAATCTGTTCCAACTGAACCAATTTCTTGGACCACAATTATTGTTCTTTCTTCAATCGGTGGTTTAATTGTTGTGGCTGTTATTCTTTTTGCATTTGTTCGTAGAAAAAGACGTAGAGAAATGGCTAATAATATTGTTGCAACATCTTCTGTTGCGTGGGAACAACAAAATAATGCATACGAAAAGATGGAGGAGGATGATGAACCAACATCATTAGGGTCATTCACTGTTGTTGCAAGTTATACACCATCCTTAGATGACGAATTGGAGATACAACCTGGTGATAAGGTTACAATTCTTGTGGAATATGATGATGGTTGGGTAAATGGTATTAACGAATCACGTGGTGGGATTAAGGGAATGTTCCCTAGACATTGCGTCGACATGAATAGTGTTCTTAATGATAAAAGGTCTAGTTCTATGGCGTATACAATGGTAAATCTCAATTAATTAGAGATTAAAATTAAAATTAAAATTAAAAAATCATAAACCCATTTATTACACACACACCTCTTAAAAATACTTTTTCATATTTGTTAAATAGAAATTTTTTAGAGTTATATAGTTGGTTATATTGAAAAAAAAAATTTTTCGAATTTTGGGGTGCTCTTATGCATTTTTTATATAATGGCTATGTACGACTTATGTAAATTTTTTAATGCAAAATAAAATTTCTCGTGTCAAACCGATTGGATTGATTTACCAAATACAAAGATACGATTTCTTTTCTATTTGTACGAAATATGATCCAAGTTATATATATTAGAAATGAAAACTTTAAAGATTTATTGTGCCATTTATTTTTTTAATAATGTTCTCAACATTACAATAATGTTAAGAATGACCGAATATTAACAATATGCAAATTTTGCTGAATTATTTATATATATTAATATATTATCCCAATCACGTAAATTGACCAATCAAAATTTTCAATTTACTGATAGTCTGTTATTTACTTCACCATTTTTTTCTTAACACAAAAAATAATGATTGAGGGTTGCAATGACGATAATAATAAATATAGATTACGAGCTAGAAATTTGACTCAAATTCGTCCATACACCTTAGAGCGTAAGAAAGCCGCAGCACAGGGAATTCCCGTTTACGTTGACGAAGTAGTTAAAAATACACGATCTATCCAAGATAAAGAGCATTATGCATTAGAAGACATAGATCATGAATTTGTAGTGGAGGACGACGATCAAAAAGAAAAAAAATTGGCAGTTATTTATGATGACGATGACGATAATGACGAGGATGATGATGATGATGATGATGATAATGACGAGGATGATGATGATGATAATGACGAGGATGACGATGATGATAATGGTTATGATGATGATGGTGGTGGTGGTGGTGATATATTATCAAATTCTGATATATCTTCAAATGAAGTTTCATCTAGTGGTAAAGAATTATATTCATCAGATGACGACGACGTCGACGACGTCGATGATACCGATGACACTGATGAAGATGATAATGAAGAAGGAGGAGGAGAAGAAGGAGAAGAAAAGGAAAGCTATTATAAAGATATAATTTCAGATGATGATGTCTCTGACTTGACAGAATTTATTAATAATATTGAAAAATCAAGTTGCGTAAAGATGAATAATAATCCAAATAAGAAGAGAAAACATAATTCATCATCAAGAAACATCACTACTAAAATTGGAAGCACTAAATCTGAAACCTTGAATGATTCAATTATAGAAAGAAGGTATGATTCTTCGTCGCCGCTGCTATTACCACCACCACCACCACCACAACAACAACAACAACAACAACAATCATCACCATCATTAAGAAAACCAAAACCAAATTTAGATCTTGGTTGGATTTTAGATGATGATGATAAAGAATCATTTTCTAGTAAATTGATTAATCTTAAAAAAAATGATTCAAAAGAAAATGAAATATTTAAGTTTATAGATAATTTGCATAATAACGAGGACATGAATTTAGAAAACCATTTGAATATTGTAAAGAAATTACCAAAAAAATTTCATATAATTAATGGTGATTATGGCAATGACGATGGCGATAAAGAGAATTCAGAAGATTCTTCTTCAGAGGATATATTAATTATTGGTGTGAAAAGATACAAGAAAAAAAATAAACAAAAAAATAACAACAATTACAACAATTACAATAAACCTGATAGTGAAGATGATGTTGTTGAAAAGGTTGGCAATGATGATGATGGTGAACCTTCTACACTGGCAAATGTCAAAAAACTTAAACCATCACCAAAATTACCATCAGAAATTGAAGAATCACTCAAAGAATTGTGTCGTATGTCCAAACTAACTCCTGAAGCTCACCTAGAGCAACTTGTTGAATTATTCGAAAAATTATATTTAGAGGTTGGCATAGATCAGGATTGGCCTCTACAATCAAAAATTTTAATGTCACGGATAATCACGATGATAAAAAATTGGGAATTGAAGGATATAAAAAGGATCGAAAACTCAAGCAAGTTAATTGGGAGAGTCTGTTATTTTTTAACTGAATTATTTAAAAATGTTCCAAAAGATGTATTTTTAATTAAAAATTTTGTCGAAGCTCAAAACATCTTGATTGACAAAATTTGCAACATAGCCATCAACAGTCAACCAAAACAAAATCATAATGATCTACTAAAAATTATATTGCCTGATCTCTTGTCAGAACTTGAAAAGTTATTAGATCTTTTAATGCTGAAGAAAAACGTTACATATTATGGTGCTTCTCAACAATTTCTATCAAACATGGTTTCATCAATCCTTCTATTAATTGAAAAACATTCAATATTTAATATTCAAGAGCCTTTAAAAAATCTATTACAAATCTATTATAAAATAGTAACATTTCTATACATACTACCTGTGAATAAGGTAATTTTATCACCATTCCTTGGAAATAATATATAAACAAATAAATATTTACAAATATAATTTTAAATAGGGAAAAATTCTTGAAATTATTCAATGGATAAAACATAATGGAAATTTAGGTAAAATTATATACACACAATATATATATTTTTAATATAATTACTAATTTGAATTTTTTTTTTGTCATTATTATTTTAGAATTATCTCTTCGTGCCATAGCAGCTGATTGTAATCGATCACTTTCAAATAAATAGATATTGTTGTTGTTATATTTGTTATAAATACTTATTAGTTTATTTTACACGTATAAATGACTAATTAAATAAAAATTAATTATGTCTTGCAATTAATTAAATAAAAATATATTTTGTAATTACTATTATTATTATTAATCTGGTTGTTTTTTAAAAATTTTCTCCATTATTAAATATAGAATTATAATATAAATTAATTACCATACTTTTTTTTTAAAAAAATGTATTTATCATGATTTTGACCTTTGAACAAAATTCTAGTTCAAAAAGAAAAAAAAAATTTAGTGATTGCAATACTTATATTTACGTTTACATATGTATATATTAATAAAATATTTATACCATGAAATATTTTTTAAAAGCTTTTTGGTCTAATTGTTGTAAAGCTCGCAAGAATTCATCAGCAAGATCTTGTCTCAACCAAATGTTCCTTATATATTCAAGAAATTCATTACCTCTCAGTGTATATATAGTTTTAATTATATTTGAGATTTCACCTAAAACCTACATTTTATATATAAGAAAAAATACAATTATTGCAATTAATATATTGTCTCCTTTTGACAGATCAAACCAATGAAAATAAAAACTTACCACCAATGATTGACTGTCTGCAACATCGAATGATTGTTTCATTGGAAGTTCAAAACAAACACGTAATATGTGTTCATACATAAAATGTTCAAACCCAGGTAAAGGTCGAGATTCTAAAGTTCTAGAAGAAGTACCATTTGAAGTAGAAGGACTGTTGGCGGTTGTGGTAGTAGTTGTTGGTGATGAACAAATACCCCATAAGCTTATAGCCCTTGATAAAATGTTAAAAGAAATCTTAATAGAACTAATTTCTGATGTATCACTAGCATAATGAATTACACTTTGAAGTATATTTTCTAAATTTGGTTTATTCACTTTAAAGAAAAAAATAAAAATAAAATAAAATAATATTAATTAATCATGTTTAACTTCTATAATCGATAAATAAATAAATAAATAAATAATATTTACATTCGCTTATTAAAACTCGATCCATTCCACCATTTAATAATCCCAAGATGAAATTTAAATAGGCCCTTCGAAGGTTCGCAAATAAAATAGCTTCATCAGTTCCAGATGGTGTTTGATTTAAAACAAGAAAAACTTTTCTGAACAATGGATTAATTAATTCATTTAAAATATTAAAAATGACTGGCTAAATAAAATAAAATAAAATAAAATAAAATAAAATAAAATAAAATAAAAATAAAATAAAAAGTTGAAATGATAATAATAATGATAATCGTAGTGATAAAAAAAGAAGAGAAAACAATACTTCAAATTTATGTGAAATTAATCCAACAAACGGTAGGAAATCTACAAGTTCTGGAATTTTGCTTTCACTCAACAGTCCATCAATTAAAGGTGGAAGGTATGGCAATATTTCTATACCAAGAACTTTCACAAGTCTTGCAAAAGCGTATCTTGCCTTTGTTTTTCAAATATAAATATATAAATATAAATATAATATTAAAGTTTTTATAAGTAAAAATAAAAAAATCTCACAGAATCTCGGATAATTTCCTCGCTGCTAAGAGATTTCAGGACTATTAAAATAGCCTCAGTTGTTTGTTTCATAAAATCAACCCAAGGGGCTGTTGGTGCTACCCCTTTTGACGCCTCAGGAAATCCTAAAAATTCAAAATTAATTGTAAATAAATAGTTTAGAAAAAATAAATTGATTTTTTCTTATAATTTATATTTATGCACTAACCTTTTGCTATGCTACCAATTGCCATCATCAAATGATGTATTTGGAGAATTGTATATTTATCTTTCAAGTCCGTTTCAAGATTTCGCTGTAATTCAGCAAGTAAATGGCCGATGGTAACCTATCAAAAAAAAAAAAAAAAAAAAAAGGGTAAGGAAAAGTAACTTATAAAACAAAAAAGTGTAAAGTTTTTTAAAAAGCACCTTTGAATATTCCATTTGAACTCCAACAGGAACAGAATCAATTGTAATCAGCATTCCAACAGTTTCAAATAAATATAATTGATTAGCAAATGTATTATCCATAGCTTTTTCTTTAGTTAATAAAAGTTCATCAGTTATATCAATTGCGGCTGGATCTATTGGAATTATTAATAAATCCTAGTTTTATTGTAATAAATATAATAAAATATAAATACAAATAAATGATACACACGCGCATGCACATATATAAATTATTTACCTGAATACTTCTCAAGACTGTTTCCACATAATTGCTCATTTTTGATTTGAGTGATTTAACAAATTTATAGAAAAGAAACCAAGATCTAGAACGAATTTGTAAATTAATACTATGTAGACCATGTATATCAATAAATGTTTTTAAAACTGCTGGAATATATTCGGGTTGGATTTCAAAGAATTGATAGTAACGAACAACAATTTCAAAAAAACTTAAAATGATTGATGGATGTGGATATGTAAAAATATCTAAAATAAACAACATTGAATTGCATTTATAAATGAGACAAGAATATTTATTTATTTATATAAAGTTCGAGATTGATAAAATATTATATTTGATTTTTTTTACTTACTACATTGGAACATTTTAAGAATCATTTCACCTAAAGGAGATAAAGCAACAACATCATTGTTTTGTTTTAAAGCAAATGACATTGATCCTTTAAGAGCCTCGCCATATAAACGTAATACATGTAAACTCAGCTCTAAATCTCTCCAATCAGACTCATTACCAATTTTTTGATAATTTTCTAAAGTATTGATTATAGCTGATTGAACAAACATAGTAAATATTGGCTCATCCATATTATGAATCGCATCAAAAAATTGTTTCAGATACTGGTAATAAATAAAATGTTAGTGAAAATTTTAAATAATAAATAAAATGATAAATTTGTAAATGTATAAAATTAATTATGTACTTTTCGCATTTCTAAAAATTCACCTTCTTCTTCAGCTTCTTCATCTGATCCATTACATTCAGTTGATTCATCATATTTCATCTTTATAATAACTACTTTTAACAAAGAAGCCAGGAACTCTCTTTGTTCACCAGTAAGTTCACCAGCTTTTTTTTTTTGCTTTTTTAACTTGGAAAAGTATTATCATTCTGATCATTATTTTTGTTGGTATTATAAAAAAAGGATGAGATATGAATATGAAAACCTTACTAATGATTGCAATGCGGTTACAAAAGGGAAAACAGCAGATGAAGTATCATCATGTTCATCCGCCAGAAATTTTAATAAAAATTCAAGCAAATATTCTATTTGGTTATATGCAACATTTCTTGTTTCTTGATCTGCCTATATATATTATAATAATAATAATAAATTGAAGCTGTAAATAACTTTGAAGTCATTAATATAAAAATAAATATGTATATATATCTTAACTTACATCTTCCCATATTTTACATAATTCTACGCCTAAAGTATTGGTTAGCCTTGCAACATATTCTACAAATACTATATCATCTGACTTTTAGATATAATTTAGTAATTTATGAATTAATTATTTTTTTGAAAATTATTAATTGTCATTTGATGGTCTTGATTGATAAATTACTACTTACATAATCTAAATTTCTCATGACATTTGCTATATTTAAAGCTTGGATTAGCTTTAATTTCTCGCTTGGTTTCATACCTTTGCTTACAATCTATATATTTAATAAATGTAATATATTATGAACAATCAATTATTAACCTATAATAAAGAACAAAATATATTACATTCATTTGAAAAAATTGGTGTAAATGTACCTACCTCGGCCAAACACTCACAAACAGAGATTCTTAATGTTGAATCACTTAATAATTCATATAAAAGTGAAATAAATGCTTCATTTGCAATCAAAGATATGTCAATCCAAGCTTAATTTGAAGAAGAGAATGGATATTAATAAGAAAAATTTTTAAAAATCTTTTTTTCTTAATTAGATGGGCACAAATTAAATATAATACAAATGAATTTTAAAATATTACCTATATATAAGCCAATAATCTTTAAGCACATTTGCACAATATCTTTATTTTGCAAACGATAATCATTCAAAATTTCATACCAAATTGTTGTTAATTTCTGAATATCACCTGCCCTCATATTGTCTTTCTGACAAATGATTAAATTGCAAAAATTAATTTTTAGATATTTATAAAATAAATACGAATAGGTATATATAAGAGAATTTACAATAGTTGAATTCCTGATGGCTTCTTCTTTTCCTCTTGAAATAACAATATTTGCAACTTTCTCATCAATTGACAATAAAATTCTTAAAAAAATATCAACAGTACAAGAATTTGTTTTCCTTTTACTATTAATGTTTATATCAATATTATTTGATTGGATCAATAAAAGAAACTCATCAAAAAAGTCTTGCCAATTTGTTGGATATAATTGAACAAACAATAAAGTCAATGTATTAGCAAATTTATTTTTTAGATCTAATTATAAAGAAAAATTAATAGATTAAGTAATATTTCATAAAAACTACAAATATATAAATAAAGTTATATAATTACATAGTGGTTCAGAACTGTAATCACCATTCGCATCACCAACAACATATTCTCTCTTAAAAAATTCCATTAAAGTATAACGTATTTGAACAATTTGAGAAGTGTCTAGCATTGTAAATCTGATCAAAATAGTCAATATTGAGATATTATTAATAAATAAACACAATATAGATATATAAATATGCAGGTATAAATATAAATATATTGAAAATCTTTAAGATTGATAATTTTAATAATAATACCTATTTTGTAAAACATCATCTAAAACTTGTAAAGCAAAAACACGAGCCTCTGGAGTACTGAAGATGAGAACAAAAGGACAAATAGGCAGATAGAAGGACACAATTGACCAAAATAATCAATCAATGGATAAAATAGATTTTTGAGCACACAGATATATAATATTAAAAGAGGATGATGAAAGGTGATTATGATGTTAATATAAAATAAGTTATGATAAAATTTCACTAAACTCTAATTTTATTAATACTCAAAGTAAATAAATATTAATAATATGATTATTATTAAAAGTGGCTAAAATGAAATATACAATTGGAATTAAAGGAAGATGACAAAAAGAAAGATGACCATGATCATTGTTAAAAAATTTTGACACAAAACCTTTTTGGAATGCGTACAAACAATGAAAGGCACAATTTCCATCCATCTGGAGATACCCTGATCTGTTCACAAAAGTTCATTGCCTAAAATAAAAATTTAAAAAAATTTTTTTTTTGAAACCAATAATTGAAAGATAATTGTTAAATGATTTCATTCAATTTTATTTTAATTTTCTTATAAATAAATATAAAAACAAAAATATTCAAACAAAAAAATTAAGGAGAATAAATGATGATAATATTGTCATTTCACTATTCAATCAATTTATTATTTGTAGACTAACAAAATTAATTGATCTTTTGAGCCTTTAATAAAACTCAGCTGTTATGATTATTTGTATAATGAATAATTAAACTAATAAATTATTTACTATGAATAATCTTTATTTTTCCCAAAAGCATTTTTAGTAAGAACATAACCAACTAACCTGAATTTTCAGGCTTTGATCCATAGTTGGGTTTAATGCAAATGAAACGGTTTGTTCCAACTGTTCTTCCATTATTATGTTTATGGTGAATATTACAACTATTTTTACTATTAATGACCCTTGGTTGAGATAGAATGAAGAATATAGTTTTCAAATTTTTGTAAATGAGATTTTTTGTTTTAATGAATAAATAAAATAAATATATATATAATGAATGCTCTTATGTACAAAAAATTTTAATATAATAGATATTATGGTAAATGTTTGTTGGTTAGCAAATTTTACTATGCAAGAAAATAAAATAAATATAAAATGAAAAAAATGAAAATTTTCATGTAATATCTATCTATCATCTATTGTTATCATGTCAATCATGTGATTACAAGGTTGATGTTTCTCGCAATCACATTGGATGATTATTATTATTATTTTGACTATTGATCACCATTTTATCAGTGCACCTTTGACATTGCAAAATGCATTTATAAATATATATGGTACAATTATATATTTTTTTTTGTTATATCCTTTTTCTTTTGACGATGTTTACACTCTTGCCTCGTTCATTTATTATTTGTATATTGTAAAGGAAAATTATCTTACATTTTAACTTGGATCAAGTTGCCGGCTACTACCTTATTCCCACTAAATACACTCCAATTCGTATGCGTGAAATTCCAATTAGCCAATCGAAATTTTGTATCCAAGCACCCAAAATTTTAAATCTAACACAGGCGAAGATCATTCCGAAATCTAGCTTGGGTTTTAATTTCATTAACGACAATTTTTTGTATGGTCATTAGACGACTCTTATTGCTTTCAGAAAATTATCCGTAAAATCTAGCATAAACAATTCAACGAATTCAATCAATAGTTTTAAGTAAAATAAGATTCTTATTTTACTATTAATACTTTTACCACAATTGTTTTTATTTTTATTATTATTATGACTATTATTTTAAATAAAGCATATATATATCAAAACAAGAATCATAATTTCAAAACCGAAAAAAAAATTTTTTTTAAATTTAAAAGCTAATTAGAAAATTTTTTAAAAGCTTTCCCATTAGAAATGGGTTAAAAGTTTAAATTATTGATTAATCGTTCATCTGCTCACTCGCCAATTAATTAAGAAAAGTGTCACTTAAAAGTAATTCAACAGCTGAATTAACATTTCCACCAGAAGCTAATAATGCACGAATATTTTTCTGTGCATCCCAAAATCCCATATCATTTAATTGCTGTAATTGGACTTGAAATCTTTCTTCGGGTGGTTGTTGCGGAGTTGTGGGTGTAGTTGTTGGCGGAACACCTAGTCCTCCTAATCCATATAGCAATGACGGATCAATTGGAAAAAATGGTTGTTGTTGTTGTTGGTTAGTATTTGGATTTCCACTAGGATTTGTTGTGGTAGCAGGATTAAGAAGATTGAAAAATGGATTATTAATTGGTGGAATGGTGGTGGAAGGTGTATTATTATTATTATTATTATTGGTTGGAGGTGTTGTAATACCAAACCCTCCAGGATTATTACCCATTAAAGTTGCCATATGACGAATTGCTTCTGGATTTGATAATAAAGATTGAAATTCTGGACCCTGTGACAATTGTCTAAGTTGAGGTGCCATTTCTCCCAGTTGTGGATTCATGGCAATTACATTATCTATAAACTGAGGATCTTGCATCAATTGTGAAATGTATTGCATGAAAGCAGGATTATTAAGAACTTGTTCCATTGAATTAAAATTTGGTAAACCATTACTATTACCACTGTCACCACCACCAAAATTCATGTTACCAAAAAGATTAGCACCACCATATGGATTATTAGTGCCAAAATTTCCAAATCCACCCAGTGCTGCAAATGGATTAGGAGTTGTATCACCAAGTGAGGGTATATTTGGTGGTTGTGTTGATTGATTATTGGTAGCATTTGTTGTTGTTGAAGTAACAGTGGGTTGTGGCTGCGATGTTTCTGATTGAGATGAGCCTAACAATTTATAAGATGTTTAGATCAATATGATATATAATTAGAAAATGCGGCTTAATGATTTTATAATAAATATTTTCTTTTTTTTTAAAGCTTATAAAAATATAAATAAACTTGTTTGTAGTCAAGCATTGTGACTTATGACAAGTAGAAAATGAGAACTATATTTTTTGTTAACATACCACGAACCATACTTCTCACCATATGAACAGTATGACCTTCAGCAATCTTGTAGGTTTCAAGTGTATCATTATCTTTTAATACTCTACCAGAATATATTAATCTTTGTTTATCAGCTGCAATTTCACTTTTTTCTGCAATAAGTTGTTTAAATTGTAAAACAGTTTTGGATGTATCTACAGCTATTGTATATTTTGTATCATTAGAACACTTTACCGTTATTGTTACTGTTGACATTTTTTTATATTTGATAAAAATTAATTTTTAATAATATTAAATCTTGTATAGAAAAAATTTACCAATATTTTTTTTTTGAAAAAGTACGTACGTAATTACGTTAAAACAAGCTTAGTATTAGCAGTCATATGATATGAAATAAAACAAACTATTACTATATATATTAATATTTAATATTAATATCGATCGATTGATTATGCCGAAAGTCACATGGCGTTTCACAAAAAAGTTATTTTTCATTTTTTTTTCCAAAATTTCCAATTGGTTAAGATCTGGTGTTATCAAGCAAAATATAAAGAGTACACTCAAAGCTACTATTGATGCATTACATAATGCATGTCCATTAAAGGTCTCTTGTGAGGTTATATCCAAAGCATTTTGTGATATTTTACATAATGACAAAGTCTTTTGTGAACACTCTGAAATACACACTAAAATATTTGATTGGCTTGAGGAAAAAAATCCCTCCCAACCATCAAGGCCATATGCAGTATTCAAAAAATGGGTTTATTCTTCTGCTTTTTTTGGATCAAAAGTGATCAATCATTACAACACTGAACAAAACAACCAAAAATCACTCCCCCACTAGTAAAGCATACTTTTTCTTTCACTGATGAGGGACAAGGGGCCTTTATTGAACCTATTTTTAATTTGGTTGAAAAAGCACTTAATGAGTTCCTTATTGAGAATGAACATATGATTCCTTCCGCTGTTGCCAAGATCTTTGCCTCCAAACATCACATAAATCCAGATTTTGATAATGCAGATACTCAATGTATGCTTAATTTCATAATTGAGAATATAAAAATTTTTGACAAATCAGTATTCCCATGGTCAACATAAATCAAATCTGACTCAGTTTTTCAAAAATTATAAGAACAATGTTAGGAATAGGGTAGCTCATGGAACTTTAATAGATCAAAAAGGTCAATGGAGTGACCACAAACTCCAATATATTGCTATACTTGCATGCAATGTTGTCACCTGTTTAGTAAATAATTTATAACAATAAATAATTTTGTATAAGAGTTGAACTGACTCATCATTTCTTTTGATACCAGGTGACAACTATAAAGAATTACATGCTATAAAAGAAAAACTTGATAATAAGATTATTCAAAAATGGATGGATGATAATTGATTATTTTATTATTTGGGGCATGCTGCAACAAAACCAGACAAAGTGAACATTTATATTACCAAGAATTTCAGGGTGTACATTTAAAGAGAATTGACATTAACAAATAAATTTTTGTAATGATTGCTTTAGTAACCAATATAATTTATTATTATTATAAAATCTTTATGCTATTTTTTTTCTCATAATTAAAAAAATTACGCGAAAAAATTGTTCATTTTACAGCCTATTATTATTAACATCATTTCCTTTTTTTTGATGGTGGTGATACATCAGGTGGGCTATCAATTGGTGACCGAACAATTTTATAAGAGATACTCTTATGTTCCCGTTGATATTTCATAACTCTTATCTATATGAGAATATAATAAGTGAGCAATGAATAAAATTTTGCATTAAATATATCAAAATATTACCTTAAACTTTATGATTGCTTCTATTATTTTTGGTATTCTTGATAGACATTCGCTTGTAGTTGGCAATATAAAGTCATCACAATTTTTAACCACAAATTTATTGTTAATACAATGCATGCTTAAGAAGTTAAAAACTCTTCCTATTCAAAATGATTAAATCAATCATTAATTCCTCAATCTAATATAGTAAGTGCAAAGCCTGTACATGGGACTTACTTACCATGAACTAATATTGCAAAAGCTTGTAATTTTTTCACCAAATTCTCTTCATATAGATGTGCACATTGATCCCATAATGATAATGCCATAGCTACAATTCATTAAAAATATAACAAATTAATGAATTGTTTAAAATAAATGATGAAAAATAAAAAAATGTCAGGCATACCTTTATATAATTTCTTCAAGTCAATATTTCTATTAGTTATATCTTTGTCAAAGGAATTACCTACTACCTCAAGAAATCCAACTTGACACTTTCTTCCATGAATTATCATATTGATTACACCATCATGTTTCATTCCTATTTTGGATCGATCTGTATCTTTTTTAGCGTCATTTAGCTGCAGTTTTTGTATTTCATTTTCAATTTCTCCGGTTTCAAGCCATATAGAGTGTTCAGTTGTTTTAAATACTCCTGAAAGTAAAGGATTTACAATCTCAGAACGATAGCAAAGTTCAGAAGTTTCATTGTTCAACAAAGCACCTCTATTACTTAGAAATTGTAGAGTTCTGATATAGAAATATTAGATTACAATGTTGAATGTATGCATAACAATACAAAAAAAACTTATAATAAAGTTTACAAATCTGTAAAAATCCTCTGACACCAGACTAATTCAATATCATTCTTGTAGCTAAAATTCTCATAAGGCTTTTCACTGAATGTTGTGATGAGTGATTCACAATCAACACTTGTTGATTCATCTAAATTTTTTGTAATTATTTTATTGTATTTTTCCACTAATTTCTTTGTTTTACACATTTCCCAACTTTCTTCAATTGCCTTCTGAATATTCATTTCAATCTAATTATTTATTATAAAAGAAATAGGATCAATAATTTATTCATAATCTTTAACTCAAAATTACACTCACTTCTTTCCATTTTTTTTCAAATATTTTCATCTGATGAGGAAATTGGTCAAAAAGTTCTTTTGTATATGGAAATTGTCTGTCAAACAGAGAAACCACTTTATAGGTTGTTGCAAGACTGTACTTAAAACTTTCCAGTGATATTGATTCATCATTTTTCTGTAATGTATGTTCCCCTACATTATATTCCTCATCCAGTTGGTGCATTTCACGAATTGAAACATTATCTTCCTCATCACTAATGCTAGAATAATTTACTTCATCATCAGTTATCAATACATCATCAGGTGTGTTGTTATTAGAACACATAATCTATTGTAGAAATCTTTTAAGCTTACCTTGATCTTCCAGTACATTTTTTTTTGCTTAGAAAGTTTTTTAAAATATAAAAAATCATATGTGAGGATTTTTTATTGGGAAAGTGCAAATCAATTTAAATATTAAACTAGAGTGACGACGAGTGGCGGGCGATAACCACCACCATTCTTAAAACACTTACCCATCATTCCTTGTCTCTTGATTTCTGCTCCTTTTGTTTGAATCTTTCTTTTGTGGCATTGTAACAAGAACAAAAAAAGAAAAAAAGTTTGTGAATGATCGACACGTACACATTGATTAATATCAAAAAAGCAATAGATTATGTTGCTAAGTCCTGGAATAGTGTCACATCAACAACTATTTTTAATTGTTGGAAAAAAACTGGGATTATTCCTTTATTAGATGGGGAACTATCTAATGAAGAAATAGAAAATTCTATAAATATAATAGAAGATATTTCAAACAACCAAAATAATGAAATCAATATTTTAATCAATACATTACAGTTTACTTCGCCATTAGCAGTAGAAGAATATATTTCAATTGATGATGAGGTGGA